GCAGTACGTCGGGCATGGGGCTAGTGCTTGGAGGGCGAGTCCCAGTTGTTCTCACTGGGCACTCAGACGCTTCTTGGGCAGACGACCAGGCTACTCAGCGGTCGTCTCAGGGTTACTCCTTCAGTCTTGGCTCTGGTTCTGTTTCTTGGCGTTCTACTCGCTCTTCTTCTGTTCTCAGCTCCAGTTGTGAGGCTGAGATCTACGCCACAGCCATGGCGGCCCAGGAGCTACGCTGGCTCACCTACTTGCTGACCGACCTTGGAGAGCAGCCTCGTTCTCCTCCAGTGCTGTACGTCGACAACAAGGCAGCCATTGCCTTGTGTGAGGAGCACAGACTGGAGCACAGAACGAAGCACATTGCTCTGCGTTACTTCCTCGCTCGAGAGCTGCAGCAGCGTGGTCAGCTTTGCCTGCGTTACGTGGCCTCTGAGGCCAACACTGCTGATGTGTTCACCAAGGCGCTTCAGCCTTGTGACCATCAGCGCTTTTGCACTCTTCTAGGCCTTGTGCCTACTGGACCTCACTTGCTTACTTCTTGAGTCTGTTGTACTGTGATCTCTATATATAAACCTGCATGTGAACTGGTCTTGTGACCACTTGCTTGTGCTCGGAATTTGTGTGGTATCCTTGAGATCCACCCTGAGCTTGTTTTGCCTTGCTTTGCCTTGACTGATCTTGTGACCCCTAGTTCTCCCCCACTTTGCCTATGGGGGTGTGTCAAACATTATATATGTTGTGTTAGTTTAGGCTACAGTGGGTTAGCCTATAGGGGGTACACAATTCTAGGGTTAGGTACTTGTACTCTTTTCATTGCTAGTTCATTCATTCCTGTTCAGTGATTCCAACAACGTGGCGCGTTCCGGCGTCGACGAAGGTGAGCGTGTAAAGCTCGTCGTTGATGCCGCAGTGTCCAACGTTGAGAAAGTCGCTGTAAACCTTCTCCAGTTTCGCGTAGCGATTAGTTCCTGGCTCGAGCAGGGGGAAGGGCTGGTGACTCAGCGCAGCTTCAGGACAGATGGTGCAGGTGCGCGGGTGAGTTCCGCCTCTTACTTCGGAGCCATCAGGGCGCAACAGTGCGCCAGGTGCGAATACGCCGGCTTCGATGCAGTTCTTCAGAGTCACGCGCGAAGGGTGACCCAGGCGCTGATGCCAGATGGCGTCGTCGGCGCGGAATCCAGAGGTGCGCATGTAGCGCGCCAGTGCAGCTACGGGGTCTTTGTCAGGTGCCGGTGCAGGTGTAGGCGCTGCTCCCTCGTTCTCTTCTTCTTCCGCGTTCGCCGTTGTTAGCATGAGGGCGAGAAATTCTCTGTCGCGGATGATGGAGTAGGGGATGTTGGTTCCGGGGATCGTGCCAAGTACAAATGTCGGTTCGCGCGGTTCAGGGGCAGGTCCGTAGACGGTGCGTCGCGGGGTGAGGGGTTCACTACCCCAGTCGATGGTGTCCCAGGGGTCACTACCTGAGGGGATGTCAGGTGGCGGTGGTCCTAATGCAAGGCAGCGCGGAGGGCGTCCAAGAGGAACAACTGGAGGTTCGGCCTCAGCTTGCATTGTTTCCGCTTCCGCTTCCCCCCTTTGGTCCTCGCGAAAAGCTCCCCATCCGCTCGTTTCTCCGCCAGATGCTGCGCCCCATCCGCCTGTGCCCCAGCCGCCTGTGTCGCCGCCGGTTGCGGCTCCCCAGCCGCTCGTGTTGCTTGTTCCCCATCCGCCAGCGCTCCCCCACCCCCCTTCATTGGAGGCGCTTTCCTTGTCGTCCTCCCAGGCAAGTGTTCCGCGCGCCTCAGTGAGGCTCTTCTGCCGGAGCTCTTCGGCTTCTTGTTGCGCCAGTGCCTCTTCTTCCGCCGGCGAGAGTTTCTTCTTCGAATCGCGTCGGTGAGAGTATATCTCTGCCGCCTTTTCCGCTGTGTAGGGACGTGGATTGCCATGTGCATCGAAGGTGCCGACTCCGACGCCGCGGAGCATTCCTTGGAGATGCTGAGATGCGGGTCCAGGAAGAGGGTGTTCCGGTGTGCCGAATACGACCCGTGTAGCTTTTTCCAACTCCAGCTGGGATAGACCCTCCTCAGGCGGTGCGTCGCGCTCTGCTTCGCGAATGGCGGAAAGGCTGCGGCCGGCGATCGCGCTCGTCGAGGTCGTCGGTGTGTGGCAGTCCCTGCAGACGCCGTCAGGATCGGGGTCGTGCAGCGCCAGCTCGCGCGGGTGTGGGTGGTGTGGCACCCAGGGGCGCCCATCGGGGTGCTTCCAATCGCGACGAAGGATGTGTTCGAAGCGTAGAGGGACGAGGTCGATTAACTCCTGCGAGTCGCCGCTGCAGTCGGGAATGTCGAAGTCGAGGACGTACACGCCGTTCTCGGCTTTCGCCCGTCCGATCTGCTTGCGCGTTTTGTTCGGCATCGTGAAGTGAAGCAGGATGTCGCGTGTCTCGGGGTCGGTGCTGAGAGTGACTCCGCAATTCAGGAGTTGCGCCGCCGAGAGTAGATTAAAGCGCAGGTTCTGCACAATCAGCACGTCGTTAAGTGTGATGTGCGTTCGGCTCCCTCGTGCCTTGAGCACTACGATCCCTTGCGCGCTTGCGCGCAGCCGCGTGTTGTTCGCCACTGTGATGTAAGTGACTTCGGGGGTGGCGACGGCGTTGGATGTGTAACGCTCGGAGCCCACCATGTGCTGCCCACAGCAGCTGTCCAGGTACCAGTTGTTGTAGCGCCTGTTATCGTTTCGCGTGAGCAGCGCCAGTCGCGGAGTGACGATGTGCGGAGTGTCAACCTTGAGAAATTGTTCGCGCGCGATCCAGTCGATCGGTGCCGGCCGCATGTCAGGTACGTGCGGAGGGCTCTCAAGCAGCGGGACTGGTAGGTTCCAGTCCTGGTTGTCGTCGTCGCTGTAGTCGTGACGCGTGCTGAATGGATTGTTGTTCGGGGATGCCTCGATTGGGTCAGGTGCCGTCTCCGGTGACAGTGAGCGCGCGCGCGGGCGACGGGAGCCGCTCGTCATGGTCATGTTCCCCATGACATTGCGAACGGGGGCAGCTTGTGATGGCTGCTGCTGCTGCTGAGTTGTTGGATTCAGGTTGCGCGGTGGGGGTTGATACCCCTGGGCGGGACGCGTGTCGTTCCTCGCGTCTTGTCGGCCGGACCAAGTGCTCGGATTGGTCTGGCGAGGGCGAGATCGGTGCTTGCATCGATCCGCCAAGTGCCCGAAATTTCTGCAGATCTTGCAGTAGAGGCGCCGCGGTCGTCGCTCTTCCGTGTTGTCCGCGTAGAATGCGAGACGTTCTCTCTCTCGTCGTGGCGCTGGTCGCTGCTGGTCCATATCCCGTTGTTCGACGAGGAGGGCGGCGCAAAGGGCGGCCTCCGAGATGACCCCCTGCTGTCGGAGAAGCGCCTTGCAGGGCCGCCACTCGGGGCCGAGCCCTTGGAGCACGATGTTTACGAAGATTTCCTCAGAAATCGAGCTCCCCAACTTCGCGATTTGATCGCGTAAGCTCCGACAGCGATTCAGGTAACTGTTGGCTTTCTCTCCTGGTGCCATCTTGGTCTCCAGTAGTTGCTGGAGCAGGCGGCTCGACGACACTGAGTCCTTGGGTTGGTACACACCGTTCAGGTGGCGCCAGGCGTTGAGGGCTGGAGCAGGGGAGGTCTTGTATGAGCGAATGCTCAACTGCTCCGTCGGCGACATGTTCCGCAGAAGAACCCCATACGCCATCAGGGACTCGTTGTAGTACTTGGTTTTTGCGTCGTCAGTATCTTCCGTAGGTCCCGAGTAGCTCCCGTCGAAATAATGATAAATCTGCGCGTTTTGCAGCAGCAGCTCCAGCTCGAAGCTCCAGGTATAGAAGTCTCTGCCGTCAAAGCACACACTTGTCTTTATTTTTTATATGCTCAAAAACCTTGATTGCGCAGAGGGAATTGCTTCATCGCTGGGACAGGGAGTCTTGGGTGTTGAGCCGTTTGTGTCAAGAGAGAAGTTCTAGCCGTTTGAGGCCTTGCGGGGCGGAGTTCTAGCCGTTTGAGGCCGGTTGAGTGGGTTGGGAAGAAGTTCCCGCATCGCCATTCCGCAATGTCTGGAGCCCTTGCTCCAGGCTTGTGAGTCGCTGAAGCAGTTGTGCGAGGACGACGGAAGGAATCGTCGTCGTTTCCTCGTTTGTCGCAGCCGGGTTGGGCTGCGCTTCAGCCGTCAGATTCGTCTGACCTCCAGATCCTCCGGCCATTCTCACGCGTGAGCGTGTGCCGGACGCCACTTTCCGTTCGCCGAATATTTCGGTGGTGGCGTTGCGAAGGATTCCTGAGTCGCTCTGATACCATGTTGCGATCAAGAAGTTGATCGTGACCAGGATCACCTCAGGAAGCTTCGCACACTTCTAATCTAGTGGTGGTGGGCCCTTGACCTCAATGGCAGAGTGAATGTAAATGCTTGAGATAATAAAAACATGCAATACAAAGGATATAAATAAGAGTACAAGGGAATTCGAAACGACCTAGCTAGCCATGTACTCTAAGGGGTACATTCCCTTATTACAGCGAAAAGCAACCGTGCGACTCCAGTCAATTACGAAACTGTTCGGGCAGAATCCTCGTTACTGCTGCTGCTTGATGCTGTGTGCCCGACGGTCCAGATGCTCTTCGTAACCGTGTGACCCTTCGTGTCACTTGCGCCCTTTCACCTTCAGTCTCGGTAGTGCGTGCTTCGGTTGGTGCGGTGAGGAGTGCTCAATAGTGTTTTCAATAATCACTATTCCTAACAGGATCAGATCAGATCACCAGCATACGCCCCAACGGAATCTATATCCCACATTCTAGCTGCCAAGATAGCGCCAGCCACCTTCCAACCCGATCATCCCCTTATCACCCTCCTGAGGGTCGAGACAACGCCTTGGACTTGCTCCAGGGAGAGGGCATGGAGGCCATGAGAGCAGGTACTTATGAAGGGTAACACAGCAGCACCATATCCCACTACCGTATCTTCCCATCCCACTATCACCCCATCCCACTATCATTCCACCATCATCATCCTGACGGTCGAGACAGCGCAACGGACTTGCGCAGGGCGGAGAGCATGGAGGCCATGAGGGCAGGCTCGCCGGGTGGTGTGATCTGGCAGTGAGGGCCGGAGCGCACGGCTCGGAACATGGCAGGGGCGTCTGCCGAGGGGGGCTCCACTGTTACTTGGATGTCCACAGGCTTTTGGGTGTCACCGTCGGGTACCTGTAGGGTCAGCTGCACGCCTCCAGGGATCTTGTCTACCTGCCAAGTGCACTCAGAGACACGGAGACAGAGGGGGGCTCCACTGTGACTAGGATGTCCACGGGCCTTGGGGTGTCTTGTCACCGTCAGCAGCACCGTCTGGTACCTGTAGGGTCAGCTGCACGCCTCTGGGGTATCCTGTCCACCTGCACTCAGAGACACGGAGACAGAAGGGGGCTCCACTGTTACTAGGATGTCTATAGGCCTTGGGGTGTCTTGTCACCGTCAGGTACTTGTAGGGTGAGCTGCATGCCTCCAGGGATCTTGTCCACCTGCCACGTGCACTCAGTCAGAGAGAGACACACACACACACACCACGCGCGCATGAACGAATGCGCACATAGGCACACAGACACACACACACACACACACACACACACACACACACACACACACACAAACACACATACAGCCACTCACAATATTAATCGCACCTCCACTCACACATCACCATGCATCCAACCACACCCAGATCCACGCCTATACAAACCCCCCTCACACACCCCCACACACCCCCACACCGTGGCACCCACCCACAAACCCGCCCACCCACACACCAACCCACCCACACACACCTCCACCCACACACCTCACACACCCGAACACATGCTCGCACAGACTCTCATACACTCGCCCACACGCAAACGCATGTGCACCCACACACTCCCAGACACACACTCACCCACAAACCAACCCCACACACACCCACCCACAAACGCAGTCAGACACACACCCATACACACAACCACACTCACACACCCAACCACATCCCCACCTTTGCACACACCAACACCCACACCCACATTCACACACCCTCACTCCTATCCCAACACACCCACCACCCACACTCAGACACCTCCACACACACTCCCACACACATCCTCACCCACTCACCCACCCAGACACACACGCAAACGCGCAAACAGACACATCCTCACCCGCACCCAACAGAAACGCATCCACACACACATAGATCAAATCAACCTCGGATGCAGGAGTACGAAGGACAGACAAAGGCAGGAGCACGCAGCATGTTGACTTTTGAGGCGCCTCAAAAGACGCATCCACACACACATGGATCAAGTCAACATCGGATGCAAGAGCACGAGAATGAAGGCCAGACAACGGCAGGAGCACGCAGCATGTTGCACGGCAGAAGGCAAAACTGGGTGGCATTGAGGTGGAGAAGAGGTGGAGGAGAAATGGAGAGGTGGAGAGGTGGAAAGGAGGGGAGGTGGAGAGGTGGAGAGGAGGGGAGGTGGAGAGGAGGGGAGGTGGAGAGGTGGAGAGGAGGGGAGGTGGAGAGGTGGAGAGGTGGAGAGGTGGAGAGGAGGAGAGGTGGAGAGGAGGGGAGGTGGAGAGGTGGAGAGGTGGAGAGGAGGGGAGGTGGAGAGGTGGGGAGGTGGAGAGGTGGAGAAGAAGTGGAGAGGTGGAGAGGAGGAGAGGAGGAGAGGTGGGCATACCTTGAGAGGAGACTGCAGAGGCAGGTTGGCGTCCTGTGTGAGGGATGTGGCCCACTGCACACAGGGCAACGAGCACAGTGATGCATGGCAGGGCAGCGAGCACAGTGCAGCATGGCACAGTGAGAAGGGGGGGAGTGGGGAGGGAAGGGGGTGAGCGGGTGTGAGAGATTAGGCCAGCAAGGGCGAGAAGGGACGGGGCGAGGAGAGGCAAGGGCAGGTGCGAAGGAAAGAAAGTGACGAGACGAGCAGGAGATCGAGGGGCAAGTGTGCACGTGAGAAACGGATGTGACTGAGGGGACACAAGAGGTTAGGGAGAGGCAACGCGGGTCGAACGCATTAGAAATGTAACAGGAGGGGGAGAGGAAGATAAGCAGAAATAAGGGCTGGCAACTGCATTATGTTGGAAAGAGAAATTAGACACTTGCTTTTTCTTTATATTAACGTCAAAAGAACTAGCAACTGCATTATGTTCCCTCACCTCTCGTTTGCAATCCCTCTCCTCTACTCTCCTAACTTCACTCCTTCTCACGTCCGTCTCCCCAATCTCCCAACTCTTGCTCCCTCCATCCCTCCCTCCCCCTGACCACTCTACTCTCTGCCTCCCCTCCTCCCCTTACAGCACCCCCGACCCACCCACCCACCCGGCCAGGACAGGCGTCTGCCATGTACACACGTCATGTGTGAGCAGTGTGCTGCACTGCACGCACACATGCCACCACCACGCTGCATGCCACGCCCGCTCATGCGCAATGGCTAGCCTAGCCAAGGGTGCGCGGCCAGAGCTGTTGGCGCGTGGCTGTCATATCAACGTCCACAGCAGCAGCAGTCAAGCTTTGCAGCGGCAGGAAACTGCTCCCGGGTGTCTCACTCTATCTGGGGAGAATGTCAGATGCTCGTTCAACCAACAGGGGGTTTAGGGAGAGGGGGAACGCTCTCTTCTGACGAGTGTGGGCCATGTCTCCAGGCTTGAACTCCCACCCCTGCCACTTTCAGGCTTGGCCGTGGTCACGTGAGACTTGAACTCCCACTCCAGCCAGCAGGCAACATTACATTCACCTGTGCAGTGGGCTGCCTTGCATCAACAGCACGTTAAATAGGCTATCTAAGGCAACCCACTTTTCACGGGATGCTCCCCCCTCCGACCGTCCACATCCTAGCCTTCGTGAGCATTGCGCTTCGGCCTTAAGGCACTTCCCTCGGGGCCCCATGGTGGTGAGCAGCACAGTACTGCACTGCACTGCACTGCACTGCACTGCACTGCACTGCACTGCACTGCACTGCACTGCACTGCACTGCACTGCACTGCACTGCACTGTGCTGCACTGCACTGCACTGCACTGAACTGTGCTGCACTGCACTGCACTGCACTGCACTGTGCTGCACTGTGCTGCACTGCACTGCACTGTGCTGCACTGTGCTGCACTGTGCTGCACTGCACTGCACTGCACTGCACTGTGCTGCACTGCACTGCACTGCACTGCACTGCACTGCACTGCACTGCACTGCACTGCACTGCACTGCACTGCACTGTGCTGCACTGCACTGCACTGCACTGCACTGCACTGTGCTGCACTGTGCTGCACCCCGGCAGCATGCACCGCATGGACCGTGGACGGTGGACGGTGGACCTCGCAGGTTTGAGGTGGTGCCTGCCTCATAACGCGTCTCACTTTGTAGGCGCCTCGAAACTTGTCTCGTTTTTTAGGCGACGCCCCACAACGCGTACCATGCACAATTCTTAGGCGCCTCAAAGCTCACTGTGCTGTGCTGCGCCCTGGCACCATCCACTGCGCGGTCCACCTGTACAGTGGACCTCACAGGTTTGATTTGAAGGGGCGCCTCGAAACTCCGGCACGGCAAAATGCCGGTGGACCCCGGCACGGCACGGTAGCATGCACCGCGTGGACGGTGGGCCTCATAGATCCCCCCCCACCCCATCAGCCACGCCACGCCTCCCCACTTTTGAGTCAACTCAAAAGCTGCTGCACCCCGGCAGCATCCACCGCCCGCCTGGAGCGTGTACCTCCTCTCGTTTCCCCCCATCGGCCCCGCCTCCTCTCGTGCTTCGGCCCTGACGCTCGCCCCCTACCCCACCCATCCAGCTGGCAGCATTGGTGCTCGTCTCCCCTCCCCGGGTGCGCCACTAGCTAGTCAACGACAACCCCACCCCTGCTGCCCGTGCTGGCGACACATTGGTACTCCCATGAGTCTCTGCATCATGTTGGAGTCACTTTTAAGAATGCTAAAAAAGGAACGATATGTGTCTCTAAGTCATGCCTCGCGTGTCGGCTCCTCCTTGTGTCGCGGCAGCGCTGCTACGCACGCGATGCGAGCAGGCAAGCAAGCAAGAGAGCAAGGAGACAACCCCAACGACCGGTGCAGTGCTGCTTGTGCTGCTGCAAGATAGCAGCAGCCACGTGACTCGACTCGCGACTGGTAGGGCACACGCGCCCACGCATTATCGCACTCACCCAAGTGCGCACTGCGCGACACCACGTGGGAAGCTCAAGGTCAAGGCCAACCACAGGTGGTCATGAAACCGGGGAAACAGTCCAAGCACAGGTTAAACTGCACTGCAGGACCAAGCACAGTCCAATTGCAGGTGCATTGCCGTCATCCCGCCTCCACCCATTCTCTCTGGTATCCACCCCACCCCGAGCCTCTTGCACAGCCTCACCTGGGCATGTTCAAGGACCCACCTTCGCATGCACCTTCGCATGCACCTTCGATGCACCTTCGCATGCACCTTCGATGTGTTAGTGTTAGCCTTCAATCTCATACGTTGTACTTTGTATTTTCTATATCCTAGAGTAGTGTAGTTTGCACATTGTGTTTGGTTGGGTGTACTCCTACATCCCAACCAAACCCAAATGTAATCTCCAAGCAATCTCCAACCCACCAATTGGAGATTGCCTTGGGATTACCCCCAATCCCTAGGGATTGCCCCCGATTCCCTTCCCCATCCATTCCCTACCCTTCTTGGATGTACTTAAAGAGCTTCAAGCTCATTACTAATTCATCGCTTCTAAGCCTAAGTTCTAACACGATGCACCTTCGATGCACCTTCGCATGCATTGCCGTCATCCTGCCCTGCCCTGTTTGGATTTTCCTTGGTAAACACCCCACCTGCGCCATCATCGCCACACCTGCGCCATCATCGCCCCACCTGCGCCATCATCGCCACACCTGCGCCATCATCGCCCCACCTGCGCCATCATCTCCACACCTCCTGTAACGCCTGCAGGCTTACACAAAGGGCTACAAGGCTACCGCTTCGCCTCTGAGCAACCAATGTTCAAGCCCAGTGGTGTGGTCTACCAGGGCAATATACCGCTTCATCACTTGTTGACCTGCGCCGCTCTCGCGTCCGCCGCTCTCACCTGCGCCATTCCCACCTGCGCCATTCTCTCCTGCGCCATTCTCTCCTGCGCCATTCTCACCTGCGCCATTCTCACCTGCGCCATGCCATTCTCACCTGCGCCATTCTCACCTGCGCCATTCTCTCCTGCGCCATTCTCACCTGCGCCATTCTCTCCTGCGCCATTCTCACCTGCGCCATTCTCTCCTGCGCCATTCTCACCTGCGCCATTCTCACCTGCGCCATTCTCACCTGCGCCATTCTCTCCTGCGCCATTCTCACCTGCGCCATTCTCACCTGCGCCATTCTCACCTGCGCCATTCTCACCTGCGCCATTCCCACCTGCGCCATTCCCACCTGCGCCATTCCCACCTGCGCCATTCCCACCTGCGCCATCATCGTTTCCAGCGCCGCCAGATCGCAGTCCGCCGGCAGCACCGCCGTCCCCAGCGACACAGTCTTCTGCTCCCCCGCGCCCTCCCCTACCGCCTCCGACTCCGCCGCCGCGCGGCAAGGCGGAGCCTTTCCGACCACGCGCGGGCGGAGGGCGGGTGTGCGCGGGAGAGGCGTGCGGACGACGGCGGAGCGGGGCGCGGCGGAACAGGGGCGACAGAGGCCAGTGGCGCGCGGGGAGGGCAAGAGAAGCGGGAGGGGTACTAAGGAGTGGAGAGGAGGTGGGGAACGGTGCAGCAAAGCAGGCGAGGGGGTTCGCGGGAGGAGGGTGGCGAGGGACGCCATGAGTCGCGATGGATGCGCGATGGAGGCACCAAGTGGAACTTTGGCACAGGTTAGCAGCCGTTAGTGAGTTTATGAAGCTTACACTTTTGAGATAGCTTTGAGTTCCGCTTTGTAGCGAAGATGATTACACTTTGAAGCCACATCACATATTTCTTATTTCACATACACGGAACAAGCTTGTCAAACTTTGATGTAAACCAGGAAATTATGGAGTTGTGGAAGATTTCCAAACATGGAAATTTTAGGGCTTGCTATAGCGAGGGGAGCCTACACGTGCACCTTGTATTGGGCGAGCATTGTTGCCCAGATGCAATAGAGAAGGTTATTAAACAGCATTGCACCATGCTGGACCTTGTTAACCACCTTTCTTTTATACCAATTTTAACAACTTAAGTTACAACGAAATGTAGTAGGTGATGGCTTGTACAAAACGCGTTCTGCTTCAAAGAATGCTCTTGGGACGCTTCAAGCAGCTCGGAGGCTTCAGCTAGAACACATATGCGAGGCACCAACGCAAAGCACGGAGAGCAATGGTGGACTCACATAAACATCTTTCGTTTCTGAGGGTTCATAACGTAGTCAATGAACATAACAGAACGGTTTATTACAAATTGAAGGAAAGCTCTTACAAGGCTGGCAACACAATTGTTAATGCTTTGCGTGGGCCATTCCACTTTAAAACAAAGGCTCGAATCAGGCTTGAGCCAGCTCGTCACTATGGACAGAGGCCTCAGCCAGCACTGAAAACAATTTACACGGCGATACTCGGTCGTCGGCGGTACGGAGAACCGGAAAGCGCACTCCTCGGTAAGAGTTAGACGCCATTGTCGAAAATGGCGAAGTCATTTTTCGAGTCGCGGTCCTCTAAGCGCGTTCGCCGCGGATTCGTCTGGCGAGCTGGATGTCCTTGGGCATGATGGTGACGCGCTTGGCGTGGATAGCGCACAGGTTGGTGTCCTCGAAGAGACCGACGAGGTACGCCTCCGCCGCCTCCTGCAGCGCCATCACGGCGGAGCTCTGGAAGCGCAGGTCCGTCTTGAAGTCCTGCGCGATTTCGCGCACCAGGCGCTGGAAGGGCAGCTTGCGGATGAGCAGCTCCGTCGACTTCTGGTACTTGCGGATCTCGCGCAGCGCCACCGTGCCCGGGCGGTACCGGTGAGGCTTCTTCACGCCGCCCGTGGCGGGCGCCGACTTCCTTGCGGCCTTCGTGGCCAGTTGCTTGCGCGGCGCCTTGCCGCCGGTGGATTTGCGGGCCGTTTGCTTTGTGCGAGCCATAAGGGGAACTTCAAAGAACGAATGCTTGGAGAGGAGCTGAGGCCTAGTGGGAAAAAGCCAGCGAGCAAGAAGAGATGAACGAAAGGTCAGCAACGAACTGAGCACATTGAAAATGATGGAAGCGAGAGCCTTTTTGTGCTCGAGTCGAGACCCTTCATCCTTCCTGTGCTAGCCAACACCAAGTCTGGCCTCGGGGTTTGGCTCGGGTAGCTCGGGCATGGGTTTGGGGAGAGCGAAGTTCGGTTTGGTTTCAAATCTCGAAAACCACCCAACCAACCTTTCGGCGTAACTCACTCATGGCCGTACAGATGAACGGCTATTAGCGAATCACATATTGCATCACTCCGATTAGTCAGTTTACAACACAGAGGATCGTCGACTTTTATCACGCTCAAGCCCAAACAGAATGAGAGGTGCAGCTCGGTGATCGTCTTTCGATTTGGGTTGCGGAACAACCTTCGTATTGAATAGACCTTAACTGTAAGGAAAAGGGTTTTTCCTTACTTGGGTTTACTCAACCGCGTACAACCCCAACTTTCGGAAGTGCACGTTCGGCCACTTTGCTTGCTGCCGAAGCAACCTCGCGTCGCCTTCGGCTTTCTCTTGCCCAAACCTGCACCCAACCTCGCGTTCCCGAGGTTCCCGCCTAGCTAGGTTGTCCCGCTATATAATCGTTATTCTTTATTCCGCGCACTCTCTTTTACAACTCATAACACCTGGTATCAGAGCTATTTTCCTAGTTTACCCCGCTATTCAATGGTAGTTTGGAGGCACGGGTGTGGCTGGTAAAGGAGACTGCAAAACGGTTGGCTGCAAGGTTCGTTAATTTTAACCTGCCCGACTCCGATAGTTTTTGCTTTCTTCTTGCCTGATAGGCCACGGATACCCATCTGCCCTCCAGACGAAGCGTGCGACTCATGGACCAGGAGAAGTTGATGTTAGAATGTCGACTAGTCTAGGTCACTAGAGTAGAGAGAATGATGTCGATTAGGTAAGGAATGGGGGGTAAAAGAGTATCGAGCAAAATGGTTGTACCCTCTAGGGATAACCCCTACACAACCTAGAAAACATAGAAACATATAAATGTTTTGACACAACCCCATTGGTGAAAGAGGGGATAGCTAAACCTAACAGTGGTCACAAGACCAGTCAAGCAAGAGAACAAGCAATGCAAAGCTCAGGGTGGATCTCAAAGACACCACACAATCTGAGCACAAGTAAACGGCCACAAGGCCAGTTTACATGCAGAGTTATAATAGCAAGGCAGTACACTGATTACAACCTAGCAAGAGTAAACAAGCAGGTATAAAGATATATATCAGTGTACAACAAGTGCAAGTCAAGCAACCAGCAGGTGAGGCAGAGTGGGCACAAGCCCAAGAGCAGTGCAGAAACGCTGATGTTCACCAGACCCAAGGGCCTAGGTGAAGACATCAGCAGTGTTGGCCCAAGAGGCCACGTAAGCAAGGCGCAGCTGACCACGCTGCTGCAGCTCCCGAGCAAGAAAGTAACGAAAAGCAATGTGCTTCGTTCTGTGCTCGAGTCTCTGCTCGCGACACAAGGCAAGCATTGCATTGTTATCGACGTACAGAACTAGAGGAGAACGAGGCCGCTCCCCCAAGTCGGTCAGCAGGTAGGTCAGCCAGCGTAGCTCCTGTGCAGCCATGGCCCCAGCGTAGATCTCAGCCTCACAGCTGGAACCAAGCACAGAAGAAGAACGAGTGGACCTCCACGAGACAGAACCAGAGCCAAGACTGAATGTGTAACCCTGGGACGAACGCTGAGTCGCCTGGTCGTCGGCCCAAGAAGCGTCAGAGTGTCCTGTGAGTACCACTGAACCCCGTCCTCCAAGCACGAGCCCCATGCCCGATGTACTGCACAAGTAACGCAGTACCCTCTTCGCAGCATCAAAGTGCACCTTTCGATGTCTACCAGATGCCACGTAGCGAGCCAGGAGGCTGAGAGGGTACGCGAGGTCAGGTCGTGTGCACGTCATCAGGTACAAGAGGCAACCCACAAGCTCTGGGTATGGACCACTCGGCTCTACGCACTCGTCCGAAGGTGGAGCTGAGAGCGAGTGACCGGTAGACAGAGGAGTGGGCTGTGGCGAGGAGTACTGGAAGTTGAAGCGCTGGAGGATCTGGTGCACCATGTGTGACTGAGTCAGGGTGATGGTGCACCGTGCTCTGTCCCGGGTGATCTGCAAGCCAAGATAGCTCCGCAGCTCACCCAGGTCAGTGCAGGTGTGTCTCTCCTGCAGCTCCGCCTTCACTAGGGCCAGCGCCTCTGTGTCAGTAGTAGCAAAAACCAAGTCGTCGATGTACACGAGAACGTAGAACGGCGGCAGGGTAGTGTCGGTGCGCACAAACAGCGACGGGTCAGCAGTCGAAGGAGCAAACCCAAGAGCCGCAAGTGTCATCCTCAGTGTGTCGTGCCACTCGCGAGGTGCCTGACGGAGGCCGTACACTGGTCGCCGTAGGCTCCACTGAGTACCCTCAGGAAACGACCCAGTGAAGCCAGGTGGACGGCGCAGCCAGATGGCCTCGTGGAGGCTGCCCTGCAAGAACGCTGTAGAGAACTCGAGGGAGTGTAGCTCGTAGTCACGCTGAGCTGCAACGTGTAACAACACCCGAAGAGTGGTCATCTTCGGGGTGGGGGAGAAGGTCTGAAAGAAGTTGACCCCCTCACGCTGACTGAATCCTCCAGCAACGTAACGTGCCTTGAAGGCAGGCGGAGAACCCGGCGGCCGCTTCACCCTGAAAATCCACATGCCACTGACGATGTTCGCCCCAAGTGGGGGAACCTCGTCGACGTAGGTGCCTGCGGACTTCCAGGAAGCCATCTCTGCGTCCATGGCTGTCTGCCACTGAAAGGAGTACTCACCCGAGATCGCCTCTCTGTAAGAGCGCGGGGTGGGGATGTCAAGTGCATCCGGGTCTCCCTCAGGGACAAGCAGCATGGTCGCGAGATGAGGTGCAGCGGCCGCAAGACACTCCAGCTCCTCCTGTCTGTCCTCAAGAACGTCACAGCCAAGGGCAACCTCACCCCCGACGGACGAAGGACAGACATGGTCAGGGTCAGAAACAAGACTCGCAAGGTAGTCTAGGCGGTGTGCTGCAGCAAAGTCAACTAGCTCAGCGACTAAGGCAGACGCAGCAGGAGACGAGAACGTAGGGTTCGTCACAACTGTAGCAAGCAAGTGAGTGACAGTCGGACTGGAAGCACGAGCAAGGTCAGATGGAGGGTCAGCAACGTAAGGAAGAGAAGACACAGGAGGTGACGGTAGAACAACACGCTGTGGAACAGAGGAAGGACGGAGTGTCATATCGTGAGTGCCTGGGACAACCGGAGCACGAGGACGACGCACACGACGAACACGAGCAGGAACGGAAGCTCTAGTCTCATTCTCTCGACGCTCAGGAGTGGAAGCACGAGTCTCAGGCTCTCGACGCTCAGTCAGGGACTCTGTCACAGCAGTGTAAGGAGCAGGAGAAGGCAGTGGGGAGTGACGCAGTAGCTGTGGGAACAGTAACGGAGGAGTAGTACCAGCGATTGGGAACTCAATGGGAGCTGGCGGAAGACCGAGAAGGTGGCGAAGCGCACCAGCACGTCCAGCACCAGCAGCACCTCCAGCACTACCAGCTCCAGCACCTCCAGCAGCACCTCCAGTAGTGGCAGCTCCAGCACCCCCAGCACCAGCAGCACCTCCAGCACTAGCAGCTCCAGCACCTCCAGTACTAACAACTCCAGCACCTCCAGCACCTCCAGCACCTCCAGCACCTCCAGCACCAGCAGTACCTCCAGGAGTAGCAGCTCCAGCACCTCCAACACCAGCAGCACCAGCACCTCCAGTGCCAGCAGCTCCAACACCTCCAGCACCAGTAGCACCTCCAGTACCTCCAGGACTAGCAGCTCCAGGACCTCCTGCAGGGTCACCCACAGCTCCACCGCCACTAGGACTCGCAGCACCCCCAGAGTCAGCACCCCCAGTCACAGCACCCCCAGATGCAGCACCCCCAGTCGCAGCACCCCCAGACGCAGCACCCCCAGAACCCTCACCCTCTGTCTCAGCACCCCCAGGCTCAGCACCAGCAGTCTCAGCTCCAGAGTCCACAGCAGCAGGCTGCGGAGGCGGCGAAGACGGCCGAGGCGGAAAACCAGGTGGGGTCTCCAAGCGTGGAGAGCGGCGAGTGGCCGCCGTGTCGTCAGCGGCGGGGTCACCCCCCTCAGCTGGGCCAGAGGAGTTAGAAGAGATCTCCAGAGGCTCAACCAAGGGGGGTGGGTCTACCTGAGACACACCTGAGGGAGCAGGACCCTGTGGGGGGGAGAGGGTCTACCGGGGGGGGGACTGGTACCAGGAAGAGAGGCGCGAGGGGGACCGGGTGGGACGCGTGCGGGTGTAGCCTGTAGAAACAGACAGACTCGTCAAAGGTGACGTCCTGGGCGGAGAAGACTCGACGCGAGCGCGGGTGGTAGAACTGCCACGGCGGGGCATCAGTGGGGAAGCCAAGGAAGACGCAGCGGAGAGTACGAGAGGAGAGCTTGCTCGCTTTGGCATCGCAAACAAGGGAGAGCGCGCCCCAGACCCGAAACACCGACGCATCGCCAACCTTCCCCGTCCACCGGAGGGTGGGCGAGGTCTCTGGCTCAGAGACACGGGGCCAGAGGTTGAGCTGATGCGCAGCGTATCGGACCGCAAACGGCAACAGAAAATGGGGAGCAGCCGCATGGATCATGGAGGTACGAGCAACCTCCATGATCAAGCCAATGCGACGCTCAGCAATCCCATTCTGCTGAGGAGAGGCCGGAAGCGTGAACGTCTGGCGGATGCCCTCGTCTCGACAGAACTCTTCAACGAGGCCGGAAGAGAACTCACCGCCCCTGTTAGAGTGCAGACGCAGGACTGGCAAGTCCCGACGAAACCGCTCGCGCAGCTGGTGACGAGTAGCACGGATCCAGGGGATCAAAACACCGCTGACGTCCGCCTTGCGCCGCAAGGG